ACACGTACCGAGCCGTACCGTGCCGTACCATGCAGTGGAAAAGCGCCGTAATTGTTGTCGTGCGACCCGTTTTAATTTCTCTAAAAACGTTCAGATTATGTGCCTTCTGAGTGTTGATACGGTGACCTGTCTGCCGTTCTATGAAACGTTAGGCTACATAACCAATTAAACTTCATCTTTACATTCTTAACTTTAATGCAGATTTTAGACTGGTTAATATTAGCTGTCAATCACCCAGCGGTAGTTAGCGGAAAGCAGTGACTGAGAGATTGACAGCTAATATTAACCAATACAAAATCTGCATTAAAGTTAAGAATGTAAGGATAAAATCTGTTAATATATAATTTGTAGTTGTGATGCTCATACATTTTTGGTGAGTGCTCCTAAATTTTTGCTGGTGCTCCTAACTTTTTGAAGTTGGGAGCACCAGTGCTACCAAGTAAAAAAGTTAATTTCGAGCCCTGTAACGTACTGCTCTAGTGTACTAAACTGTGTGCAGTTTAGTGTTCAACCTTACAATTGTCAAATGAAAACATACTTCTTATGTCATCTAATACTATATAGAGAGCATAGAGAGTTAGATATACAGCTTACCTTCCAATGTCTCGTCCAAATATTTGCTTGATGATAAAGCAAAATAGCACAAATAGCAACTTCCTGAGATCTAAATTAGTCAAATAACCGGAGCTGTGTGTTGTCGTGTGAATCTGGCGGACAGATAGAGCCGTGTGTCCGCGCACCGTGTTTGAGTTCGCATGGAGAAGAAAACACGCCGTTTACAAGCGGCCGGTCGCCATAGAAACCGAGACGACACTCCGCCTCCGCGCGCGCTTCAATCTGCACAGCAACACGCTGCAAGCCTGAAACTATCCGCTTGATCTGACCTCAGATCAGCCGTTTACGATACCAGAGCAGTGGGACTGTAAATCCCTGCATCCGATGACATAAATCAAATGCCACGCAGTTTTTTTCACCTGTACACACATACACAACACTTCACACTCACGCATATTCATTATATTTCAGTGTATTTTTTTAAAAATCTGAAATGACCTTGACAAACATCCCAAAGGGTTAACAATTGCCTTTTTATTACAAAAGCTGCTGCATACATTAAAACTAAAGCAACGGAAACACTTGAGATATCACAGTAACCTCACATCTCCCATGTTGTGTCATTTTTAAATACAAAAAGAACATGTACAAAAGTGCTTACATGGTGCAAGTATTGAATTAAAGTTACTTTTAAAAAGAGATAACTGAAATTTTAAAATATTACTCAGCTGGGAAAAATATAAGAGCTACAACAAACGAGAGAAAATGACCTGCAGCAGAAAAATATTCACTCAGTAACATGAGGGCGAGATGCTTCACTCACATGACTCGGCTGAATAAATAACACTCTCATTCTCCCAAAACTCTCCCCATTAGCCGGCATGAAAACCTGACATTTTTAATCTACAATTAACACAAAACCTCCGAAGTTAGTTACGTTTAATAAAACCGTTCCCTTATATGGCACTTTTTGAGCAGCAATGCATTTTGCTCAATGTTCTATCTTTGCAGCTTTAATGATTTTTAAATGTTTTAAATGTTACAATATTTAATAGGGTTTAAAAAAACAGGTATTTAACACAGAGCACTATTGCTTGCAGTTCTGGCGATTGCTTGCTTGATTACAAAAATCTGACTGGCTGCTGTAGAACTGCATGATGTTTGATTCTGGATGCCTGAAGTGGCGAGAAGTCTGGCTGTCTCTGGCGGTGGGCAGCGTATGGCATAAGGCTGCAGTGAGATTTAGCACTAAACACAGTCTGCTCATCAGCTCAGCTGTGGTTGTCCAGCGTCCGTGCCGTTCCGGAACGAATGCATCATGGGTACTGCAACGGCTCCAGGTACTGCGGGCCTGAACGGCTGAAGGAGGCGGAGCTAATAACTGTTCTCATGTCCAGCCAGGATGTAGAGGTTACTGAGAGCGGTAGGGTTATCTGTAGGCCGGCTCTCCAAAACAACAACCCTAAAACGCACACAAATATTAATACACAAACACTTATCAAAATCAACATGTACCATATAGAGGAGATGAGTGTGAAAGTGTGGAAGAAAGCCATGATTATGCAAATATAGAGGGGTTGTGTGAGGTTGGTGCAAGCGGGAGGCTGGTCGTGTCCTCAGCCGCAGGCGACAGATGAAATTACAGCACTGAGACACCAGCCTGGCACTGCCAGTGTAAATAAAATATGGAGATCTCATAGGGAGAGTGAAAGAGAGAGACAGCATGTGCTAAAGAGGGTCTTGGGGTGGTGCAGGGCCATTGTGTATGTGGCATCAATGTATGGTGACACAGATACGTTTCTGTGGCCAAAACACACAGACACACGCACACGTCAGACAAGTAAAGCATTGAATATACATTAAAATGTGGCTTCAGAAAAGTGATGTCAATATAATGCTTGTTTTATTTACATATAAATGTGCTCGGTTCTAGCGGTTTCTGAATGTAAGAAGTGTCTGTTTTTTTTGTAACGGTATCTTGTCTGTATTTTTTTTAAATTGCATTTTATTCATTTATAATTTATTTAATTAATGACAACCCTAAAAGCCCGGACTGCTCTTTCCTACATTTGATCTTGTACATTATTTGTTATTTCTTGCAAACTAAAACAGCTTAATAATTTGTTTTTGCCAATGAAGAAAAATTAATAGTGGGCAAAAATACAGACTACCGTTCAAAATTTTGGTATCAGAAAGACTTTAAAAAATAACTTAATATTTTATTCAGCAAGGGTGCATTAAATTATATGTGAAAGACATTTACAAGCTTACAAAAGATTTCGATTTGAAATAAAGGCGGTTCTTTCAAATTGTTTATTCATCATAAAAAAATAACAACAACCAACTAAACAAACAAATTCCTGAAAAAAAAAAACAATTTTCACAAAAAATGTTAAGCTGCATTGATGACAATAATAATAAATGTCTCCTGAGCACCAAATTAGCATATTAGAATAATTTCATGAAAGATCATGTGACACTGAAATTTGGAATAATGGCTGCTGAAAATGTAGCTTTGACCTTAGCAATAAATTACATTATTATTTTTAATTGTTATTTGATTGTTATTTTAAATTGTAACAATATTTCACAATATTATTATTATTATTTTTTAAAATATTATCTTGGTGAGCATAAAATACCTCTTTCAAAACTGTTAAAAAACATACCAACCCCCTTGTAATTGGGACCAGTAAAAATGCTGGCAGGAAACTACAAGTCTAACTAACTGAGACAGCAGAGCAAAACCTCATCAATGAGCTTGGGTGTTAAATTGACAGACCTAATTTAGCCCCGTACGTCACACAGCGCTCAGGTCCCCCACATAAACCTAACCCAGGGCTTCCCTCGCTATAGAAACAAACTCAGCAGAGACACTACATTCTCCCTGTTGGCTTTTTTCCTCCTCATGTCTCTATTTCTGTCCACTGCATGTGCGAAAGTAAAAAGGCTACATGCAGAGTTTCTGGGAAGACATGGCGGCAGAGAGTAATGTTTCCAGGAGACAGAAGAAATAGAAGTAAAAGCATTAGCCCCTCACTGCAGAACACAAGATCCAGGGGGCATGGTTGGATCCA